ACAACCAGCAACATTAAGGATTTTCTTGAATACGGAAGTAAATCCTTAAGAATGGGGGGCCTAGGATGAAGTCCAGGTTTTACAAATGAGTCCAGTCCAGGTTTTACAAACGAGTCCAGTCCAGGTTTTACAAATGAGTCCAGTCCAGGTTTTACAAATGAGTCCAGTCCAGGTTTTACAAATGAGTCCAGTCCAGGTTTTACAAGTCCAGTCCAGTCCAGGTTTTACAACATGCCGGCTGAGAGGCCCACCGTCCACCAAAGTGCCCAGCATGACACTTCCAATTAACCACAAGGCATGTTCCATGATACATGTCTCTAAATTCAAGTTGTTGGTAACACCCAGGTCGTTTGCAAGTGTCCCCATGAAGGCGATACAAAAGCTCAAGCACTTTAGTTGTTGATGCAATACAATATTCCACTTTTCCTACATCTGATGGTGGTATCACATCAACTTTGGTGTCATCTTTGCAAGGGTCATAGGACATATCCTCAGAGTCAGACATATCTTCATCTTCTATATCCTCTACCCCTTCAACATTGAGATCATATACCTCGCTTTCAATTGATGTTTTCTCCAGATCATCATGCCTATTTGAAATGGTTATCATCATCAAGCTATGTACATTAGTTGAGATTATCTAAAGGGGATATTTTAATTGTTGAATCAAGCTTCCTGATTATAAAAGATTAACAACAAGTTTCAAACAAGACCCTTTTATCTTGGAATTTTGTCTTCAGAATATCATATGTTGTAGTTGAGTCTTATAATTCTGTGTATCAGCACCTGTTTATGCACACAAATAATCTAATACCATGGTCTGAATATTTTATACTTACTGTGGACTATCTTGTGGAAAAAACTCATCTGGTTCCTCATCATTATCACTATCTTCAGACTCACTTGCAGTTTGGGTAGTCTCCCACAATGATGTATATTGCTTTACTCTGGACCTTAACAAATACAAAAGGAAAACTATTGTCTTGCATAAGCCTACTGCTGACAAGTAAAATTATCAGACAAGAAGGAAAAATATATATATGAAGGATGCATATTGCATACTGCTTATTATTTACAGTCAAATCCTGAGTTTTGTTGAGGCAATATTGCAATTTTCATTGCCAGGTTTTGCTGCAGCTGTGCAGTATCAGTATGTGTGATTGCAAGTTGAGAAACATATCTACACAAAGCATCTGATTTGCTAGCAATTGTTTAGAGATTACTTTTTGTTAGGGAGGCAGTTTACCCTGGTTGAATTGTGTTTTTGTTTCCTTGGTGTGGCCATGCAATTCACCAAGTTTCAAACATACTTAAAACAAATTCCCCAGGATAGGGGATTGGGCTGTTGAAGAAAAGAATTAAAATTTTATGCACAGTAATAGGAAGCAAGGTTATTTTTTAAAAAAACATACATAAGCTGGCGAAGGCTGAACAACTTCTGTCAACAAACGACGGCGTTTTGGTGAAGAGCAACCACCTGTTTGCGCAACTTGACCTTTTGATATGGGTGTCGAAGTCATAACTGGAAAAGAAAAAAGCCTGTTTGGTTAAATCCTTTTGTATTAAAACTATTTCAAGTGGTATGCAACTTACTTGGCCATTGGTCGGAATGGAGATGACTTGGCGTTGTCGGTAAAGGCTGGTCAATTGCCGAATGGAGATGACTTGGCGTTGTCGGTAAAGGCTGCTCAATTGCCGCAGCTGTCACAGTCGGCTCACAACCTTCCGTTTGTGTATCAACATCACTGTGTATTTATTAAAAGATACATGACAACAAATATTTAATAAAACGCAACATTAAACTATGATCCTTCAAAGCTCCGCAGTATATTTCTAGTTGAGTCATTACCTGAAATGTCGTCTTTTGTGAGCCATGTAATTGTCGAGCAATACTGACGCAAGTTCTTTGTCAGACTTTAGCGACAATTCGTCCATCAAACTTCGCCATCTTGTGTGCTCATCCAACAAATAAATTCGAGAAGCATTTCTCTCAGGATAATATTGCTTTTTTCTTCTAGCCTTATCTTCGTCACCCGCAATTCGAGCATGCTCGACTTGCGGCAAAGAAGAACTCGTTTGTAACTCCGAACTGTCCGCCATTTGTAATACAACGTGCTAATATCGCATATCATTAACATTCCAAAAGTTGCTCCCCCACTGATGGAATGTGTTGCTGCGCGGAATATATGCGCAGAACGGACTTTACCTCATCTTTAATGTTTTATACAGTCACAAGATAGCAGGCAATATTGCTAGTAAACAATATCACATATCTCAAAGGAAACTAATGTTTTCAGATATTGAAAGAAATCCTGGTCCTGTTCAAAACAACAGTCCCACTAGACTGTCATTAAATGTAGTGTTAGAGCAAAAGCTACAACGCTTTCATTATATTTAAGACCATTTGATGTTGGTGGTGATGGTGACTGCCTTTTTCGAGCTGTGTCTCATCAGTTGTATGGTGACCCTGATCACCATCTACAAGGTCGAGCATTTGGCATTGCTTATATGAGAGCTAATCCTGAGAGATTCATTGAAAGTAACACTGAAAACTCATGGTTAGAATACCTCAATAATATGTCCATGCAAGGGTTATGGGGTGATGCTATGATTATACAAGCTGTGGCTGATCAGCTGAAGTTAAAGATAGTCATTAGTTAGACACATGAACAATTTTCTGAATCCATTTAGTACTGGGATATTCACTAACAGATCAACTTAGAGATATTTATTTAGGTCATATAGATGAGTATCATTAAGTATCAACTTTGCCACCAGGTACTTCTAAATCCTGAGGACCTGAACAGTCAAATAGGAGCTCTCAGCCTAACCAAAAAAGAACAGAATATATGAAAAAATACATGAAGGAAAAACGAGCTAATGAAATACAGAGCCCTGATGCTAAGCAAAAGCGAAGAGTACATGCCAGGGAATATAGGAAATGTAAACAAGCCAATGAGACCTCCCAGCTCTCAAAACAGAGCATGTCTATATTACTGTCATAACTGACATTACTACATATTACTAAGCATATTTTCTATTGCTTGAACAGCGGTAAAAATAGTGTAGGTAATCATCAAACCCTATTCACCAGAAGATGGGAAATTAAAAAACATGGCCAAATCCATATGGTCCATTTGCTGGCCAAACTAGATGTTTGTGAGCAGATACACGTACGCTTAGCGTACCTATTTTTCTAATATTTTATTGAAAACTGACAGTAAAGATATAGGGCGATAATTTGATACCTGGGACACTGAACCATTTTTATATATTGGTACAACCCTAGCCAACTTTAGCTTATCAGGAACTATTCCAGAAAAAAATGAACAATTGAAAATGCAAGCAAGTGGTACGGACAGTGTTGATTTAACCATTTTAAGTAATTTAGTCGGAATGCCAAAAGGACCAGTTGATTTTGAATTATTGAGTTCATTTATCTCTGTTTCAATCTCAGATGGTGATGTTGGATATAGCATGAAACTAACCCTATTGGGTGTTTTTAAAAACTGTTGAAATGATGTGTTAACTGTTGGTATTGTATTTGCAATATTAGATCCAACAGTTGAAAAATATTCATTAAATATATTCGCAATTTGTTTTGGATTTGTTATTTTCTGGTTTCCAACTAGTATAGATGATGGCATAATTTTTGAGTTTTGTTTAATATTGACTAACTCTTTTATACCTTTCCAAATATATTTCATATTTCCATTGTTAATAGAAAAAAAATAATTATAATAAGACTTTTTGCTTATACATAATAAATGTTTCAATTTATTTCTATAAATTTTGTATTTGCAATGATTATATTCATTTCTGTTGTTTAAATAAGATTTATAAAGCTTATTCTTTTTTGCAATAGATGTTTTCAATCCTTTTGTTATCCATGGTTTAGTAAGGAAAGATTTTTGTTTTCTTGATAATTTTTTTAGGGGAACATGTTTGTCAGTAATTTCAGAGATTTTATTATAAAATGAATCATAGATGGAATTAACATCTTCTGTTTCTGGCAATACCTGCTCCCAGCTGACTCCTCTGACTTCCTCAATAAAATCTTCTTCATTAAAGTTAGAATAATCTCTGTGATGTACATTTTTTGTTATAAACTTGGTATTTAATTTGTTAATTATGAGAAAATTTGGGAAATGATCTGATATATCAGATAAAATATTACCAGTGATACACTGATGCTCAAGTGAATTAAAATAAATATTATCAATTAGGGTTGCAGTGTGGTCAGTAACCCTAGTTGGTTGTAAAATAAGAGGTTGAAAACAATAAGCTGACATATTATTAATAAATTCCTCAGTTGGAGTATGGGACTCATAATTTAATAAATTAATATTGAAATCACCTAGTAAAACAGCATATTTGTTGCTGTTGGTAATTTTATCCATAACTTTTGTAAGATATTGCTGAAAGTTATCAAAATTAGTACGAGGATGTCTATAGATTATAGAACAAATTATATTGCTCTGTGATTCCCTGTGAATCTCAATAGATAAAATCTCAAATTCATCTGTAGAAATTGTCAGGTCATCACTACAATGAAACATACAGTCATCTCTAATATAGAAACCCACTCCTCCAGCTAGACTATTACTAGGTTGTGAAATGAAGTTATATCCAGGTATATTGACATTAGTCACTGTCAAGTTACCAAGTCTAATTTTGGTCTCAGATAATCCAATAATATTAAATTTGCAATTGAGATCAGACAACATTAATAACAAATTATCAATATTGGCTGATAGGCTTCTGATATTGCTGTGCAGTACGCAGAAGTTCTCTGGTTCAGCAATAATTTGTTGGATATTTTGACTATCATTAAAATTATCTATAGAATAGTAATTAAAGTTGACATTACTTGTGAGATTCATGTTCACGTCAAAATCCTTCAGTGATGATATATTTAGAGAACTTGATGTGAAATCAAGTTTAGGTAAACTGTTCAGATTAGAAGACATCAGTACAAAGAAATTAATATAATATACTTATCACACATTTTCCAAATCTTGAACCTTTGAGATTATATGGGCTGGTGAATCCTTATCCTTTCGCAGATAAATACGGCCTGAATGAGTCCATATAAATTTAAAGCCATGGTCTCTTTTAAATTTCAGACATTTTCCAAAAAGATCTTTATTCTTAGGACTAAGGCTCTCAGATATGTAGATTCTACCATTGGACAATCTCCCCAGACCAATATCTTGAGCTGATTTGTCAGCCAAAAGCTTTCGCCCATAATAGAAAGCTTCCTTCGTCTCTCTTCGTACAAACTTGACAATAATCTTAGGAGGATTGATATTAGCTCCATCTCTGGGTCTTAGCCTAGCAGCATAACTCTCATTTCTATTTGTAGGTTGCGGTAAACGATGACTGGTTGAAATGTCTGATTCATCCAGACTTAAACCCATTAGCAAACCAACTTTGATAACTAAGTCATTAGTTTTCTCTCCCATTTGTCGTGGCAAACCAGCGATTTCTACACAGTCTCTTCTTGTATATTGTTGTAAGTTATTAATGTCCTCTTCTTGCTTGCTCATCATCTGTGAAAGTCGTAACACTTCCGCTTTCAGACACTTATTTTCATCAATCACTGATTTATATTTCTCGTCTAGATCATCGATTCTTTTGGATATTGAATCAAAATTATCACTCATATATTGCACACTAATGGCAAGGTCATCAATGACCCGCAAGATCGGTTTCAATTTATCTTCTAGTTTTCGGTCCAAAACAGCCAAAAACTCATCTTGCATCACTTTAGTAAACTGATTGTGACTCATCATTTACAAACATAAATAAGAATAACACGAAATACAAGTACAAACAAACAAACTGCTCAAAATATAACCGAGCTCAGAAAATCACCGCCATCTTGGACGAAGTGTAGGGCGTTGTTGAAAACCTAAAAAAGCAAGAGCAGACTATTTAAGATCGGAAATCCATCTACGTAGCTTATGCATGACTGGCAACTCTCTATTTAATACTTTGGTGTCAGGAAGAGTGATCATGAGATACACATATATAATCTCAACAAAGCATCATATAATTTTAGGGCCAACATTACTTACATAAGGGTTATGGTCAGGTTTTAGTAATAAAATTGATGTGTTATTTAAAAAACGCCACCTTGAAGGAACTTAAAGTACTACAAGATCTTTTGGCAGCAGGGAAAATAATTGTTGTAAAGGAAGTTAATGCTGACAAGGGGCAAGGTTAGGGTGTTATTTGTTATTACTATCATTACTTGAAGAATGAGTATGAATGTCTTTAACCAATTAACTTAGTAATTAACCTTTTATTTTTGTAGTGACTGTTACAACAGTAGCCTCCTGCACCCAAACTGACTCGGCATTAAACTACCCAAGTACCACAGAGAAAAAATCTGCCAAGAGTTTGGATTCTGAAGGTATTTCAACATTATCATACCACTAACTAATATAATATACTTCTGTATGATAGACACTTATAATCCTTATAATATTATTTTAGAAATTTGTAAATGTGCATGTTCAGATATTTTATAATACACTACATAGAAGTTTGACAGTCGTTTCTCATTCAATGGCAGAACTGTGCATGCAAGGACCACTTCCATAGGGATTCAACTGTTCTACCACCAGGGTGCATATAAATAGGGCACTTCTGCAGACGCAATAGATTGAAAAAATACCACACTTGCAGCTTGTTAAGCTGATTATATACTTTTTGGTTTGTCCTTCTTTTACTCCTCGCATCAACAACTTTGATGCTAGAGTTGGCTTTTCTTTTACCTTTTTGAAAATACATTTTTAATCTTGTGTATTTTCAACTCTTCCATCGCCGCCATTTTATTACAAAACCCGACTTGCCCTCCCCATACTAAAAAAAATTTCATATTAAACAATTCCCAGTAACTTACTGGATAAAGTGTGCATATAATATCTATTAGTTTACTGGATACAACGTTCGGATCGGGTGTAATTTGCACGCCCTTTATCTATTAGTTGCACGAGTGGAGTGCTCCACTTGACATGGAGAGTGAATGCAACAAGAAAGCAAAAACTGCAAGAAAGGTTGGTGTTTATATTCACAATGCATATTGTTTATTGGTCTGTCATTACATTCTCCTCCTTAGCGATATATGTAAATTTGTGCGTATTGCCATATCATAAATAATGCAAATATACAATCAATAAATATGTGTGTTCATTTTCAAACCCTGGTGATATTGGCACTGAAATTGAGCATCAGACAAGATACATAACACTGAATTTTCAATATTTTACAATGATAAACGATATTCTAAATTGACAACTTAATAGTGAGTGTATAAGCAATAATGCTACAGCCTTTTTACTTCCGTGTCAGCGACGGAGTTGAAAATTCGCCTCAGTTTTGTTTTTATTTTTTTTATTTTTAATTATTTTTTGTCATTGCAAGTGTGTTTTGGCGTGAAATAGTCTAGCATTTGAAATCCTCTCAATGCTCAGTTGTATCCAGGACTTCATGATGATGCAGTTCACATGATACAGCAATTTGACCATGAGGGCACACAACAAAAATAAACCCTTTTCCCTTGTTTTTTACTTTATATTGGGCAAGAAATGTTTGTGTAGAGTTTTAATTTTAGTTTCCATGTCAAGTTTAAATATGGTAAGAGTATTTCTAAAACGTGTGGATTTTGGTTTTATTTTAATAACATAGATCAGTGGTATTGCTGCTTCATTTACACCATTTACATTAGGATTGTGTAATTTATACTTAGTGGGTACACAATTGCCAACCTTGTAGACACAATTACATGATCTTATACTAGAAGTTACTATCGCAAATAAAGTGCTGCGAGTAGAGCTTATTTAGTATTTGGTAGTACTAAATGCCAATGCTAAATGCTATTGCTCATTAGTGTGAAAGGTCATAAAAATATTGAAAATGGATGATACGAATTTAACATAAATTTACACAAGGTTTTTTTATCAAACGCAACACGTAACAAATCAATATTACAGCACTTGTTAAAAGTGCGTTCTTCTATATCTAGCACTAAGTAAGTATATTTTTCTACTATACTGTTATATTTAACTTTATTCTATTCCTTGCTGGACGTTTTTGAGGGGAAGACAGTATATTTGTATGGATTCTTGTTCTTTGTTTACAGCTTGACTTCGGCTCAGACAGCTGAAGCGACATAATTTTGATACTATAAAGAGAAGTAAGTACATCTTTCTTCCATATAAACATGTCAGACTTTTCGACTCTTCTTGTTGCTGGCAGTATACATCAAGGCGACAAAAGATTTAGCAACATTTCAATGGGTAGACAGTGCACTTTTATGAGTCTTTCTGCTTTGCTGTGTGCGAACACATGGCCAGTAGAACAGTGGAGTGCTTGTACTGTCGACAAAATTTTGATAGAAGGCCACAAGATGTATTTGAATGCATTTAGTAGGGGTTATCTGTGATATATTGGGAAGGTAAAAGGTAGAGAAAATACTTTCAAAGATGTCAGTGTAAGAAAACAAAAAGTACACCATGCGTTATTGTGGCTTACACAAAATAATCCTTATTATGCAGATGTTCAGATAAATGAACAAGCATTAAGATGTTTGCCTGTCAATGATGTCCCATCAGATCTTCTTACTTGTCGAGACAGAATGTGATATTACTTGTAATGACAATACTCAGATCCACCCTCTTACAACACCAATGAGGATGTAGTTTATAATGACTCAACCGAAATGAGCAGTTTTCTACCTGTTGGTGAACAGGTAGATGAATGTTTTTCACCATTGCAGGTGAATCAGTGGTTTCTACCATTAGAGGCAGTGATTGATAATTTGCTTGTTCTTGAACGGGCATGTAGTTTGTTCTATTATGCTCAATGCTATTAATGAGTGGTTGATTTGTTTGAAATGTGGTATTTATCAATGGGAAAGGCCACCAGACTTGGTCAGGAAGATATGTCAGTGACAGGGTTTCTACATCTGGGATATACCCCCTACTAAATGCATTCAAATACATCTTGTCGCCTTCTATCAAAATTTTGTCGACAGTACAAGCACTCCACTGTTCTACTGGCCATGTGTTCGCACACAGCAAAGCAGAAAGACTCATAAAAGTGCACTGTCTTCCCATTGAAATTTGAAATGTTGCTAAATCTTTTGTCGCCTTGATGTATACTACCAGCAACAAGAAGAGTCGATTCTGACATGTTTATATGGAAGAAAGATGTACTTACTTCTCTTTATAGTATAAAAATTATGTCGCTTCAGCTGTCTGAGCCGAAGTCAAGCTGTAAACAAAGAACAAGAATCCGTATAAATATACTGTCTTCCCATCAAAAACTTAATAGAATAGAATAGAATAAAGTTAAATATAACAGTATAGTAGAAAAATATACTTACTTCTTTTTACTATAAACTGAATAAAGTCAATAAACCCAAATTGTGAACTGCCAAACAGAGCCAAACAGTTGAGAAGTCACACAACACGTGGTCGAATCAAGCATGACTTGTGTTGACGTACACAGCGCGTAATTTCATAATGCTCGCCACTGACCAGTAATCAATGCGTATACCGAAGATCATCGCCCACAAGATGAAAAAATCGAGATTGCGAGAGCATATGTACCCACGTGACCCCGTCAGCAATAGTGAGCTGCTCGCCTTACGGCTCGCAGCAATAAAACTGTAAGGTCGTACATATAGTCAACTGTGAAAGAGCTGGTTGGAGGGACATTTGAATGTTAAACTGTATTCAGATGTATGAAGGGGAGAGGGAGGCATCTTTTATTCTTCTCTAGAGGGGTATGGATTATGAGATATCTTCTTGGATATTTATGAGTAGTCTATTTTAATTATGTCTCACTAAAGTATATATTTCAGTAGAATTTTTTAACTGTTTTCTAGGTTACATTACACTTGATATCTCATTGAAGGAATTCTTACTTTTTACCTAATGCTATCTTTGTAAATCACATGTATGCCAAGTCAAAAATTATGAATGCCAAGTAACATATTATGTATGCCAACTTACACCTATGAATATATAAATATCTTAAATATTAACACAGTGAAAAGTTTGATTAATACAAAAATGAACATCTCTAAAGTTGTCCACTTGAATTCTAAGAAAATATGTATTTGAACAAACTTATTTTCTACATTTCTAAATGCCAACATTTAAATGCTGAAGGTGATACAAATTGCAAAATTATTTGTGAAAAACTTTGAATACCCAACCAGGTTAACTACTGACAAGCATCAAGTCACATCACATAAAGTTTATGTCCAAACGAGGCAAATCAGCAGTTATTGAGAAGATGGAATGCAATAGTAGTTTCTGTCAACATGATGGCAGAGCCCTTTGTAGTATTCAATGTAAGAAGCTCAGAATGTTAGGTGAAAGATGTTCAGAAAGTGATCAAGAGAAACATTCTTTCATCATGTATATGTCAGTACACTCAAGTATACAGGCATGAAGTTTATGGGTGTTAATAAACATTGTTTTCCTCAATTCACTGGAAAAACAGTAAATTTTAAAAATAACATTCTAAGATTTATCAATAAATCAAAGAAATTGATGTTGTATTATTAAATTAATATTACACAGAAGCATTTTTACAGAAAACAATTATGCTAAAGTAATGAGAATACTAGTGTTACGTTCCAAAATTTAAGCCACAGGATGAATTATTGTGCACTCTCTCTTTGTCAAGACATTATTGAAACTAATCCAGGTCCTACATTTGTCGACCCAAGTGAAACAGTTCATGCTCTTTACAAGCAAGGTAATGTTGATAT